GTTATTCAATCACAACATCGGCACCAACAATCCACTCGGCAGATGCAATTATAAATGAAGGCAGTCCAAACAGGTTTTGACCACACTAGCTTCCAGGAAGTACTGTTTTGTAATGAAATTACTTTCTCCTCCTTCCTTTTTGGAACATTTGCATATTTCATACTTTCTCTTTTCATTCATAGTATCATTTGGAATCCATGGTAGTTAGCAAGTAGTGTGCTGGAAATGGGAAAATACAGCGGCTTTTAAACTGAAAATCGTCCGTAGTCGTTTGTGCAGGAAAATGGAAAGAGAACAGCAGCAAGAGCATATAAGGTGAACAGAAAGTATGAATACAATTGGAGCAAACAGAGTGTTCAACTGGCGTCAACAAACAAAACAGGATGTGCATTTCGTGGCTCGAAATGCAAGTTTCCGCACTTAGAAAAAATGTACTTGCGTAAGTTCGCAATATGTGTGCTCAAGGGTATGCAGTAGCATGGGAAATGTGCCAAATAAGAGTGCTTGCTGCAGCAAGAGAAGGAAACTGTCTTACATAGCAATTCAAGGCACGTGAAGGTTGGTTGCAGCGAATGATGAAACAAAATGGATTTTCATACAGTGCATAAGAACAGATGTTTTGTTAAAAGTAATGTTTGCAAGCTATTCAAAGAGCCAACATTTACTTAATTTGTGTAAAAATAATTATTAAAATGAATTTATGTCTCTGTATTGTGCTCCTGTGGGAACTAATACGTGCCAAGTGCTGATAATGTAAACAGGGTAATTAATATTATATATATGAATGGGAGAGAGTGAGTTTGTAAATTTTAGGTAGCTATTAGACAACTTTAAATTTGATACTTTTATTACTTATGCCATTTTCTTTCACACAGAACTTAACTTGGCTGTTTGAAATGAAATCTACACTCAAATTATTCACGAGAAAAAATGCGACACTTGAACAACCCATGTAATGTCCGCACCCGAATTTTAGTAAAAAAAAGTGTGGACATTACGTGAGCATATACGGTATCTACATTCAGAGTGATTTTGATAAAAATTAATACAGTACAAAGTCCGAAATTCGAATGTCCATTATCCGGAACGATCTAAAATCCGCACCTCAAAACCACAAACATTTTTTTTATTAATGCTTTACTCATGCACATTTGATTTTTCCTTCTATAATAAAATGTGGAGATTTTCACTTAAAAATTCCGATTCTTAATTTCACTTAGGCACTAAATAAAATACCTCATTATGGAAAAACAATCATGTAAGCATAAATTTCTGAGATTAATAATTTGGCTCTGTAACTGAGTATCTACTTGCCATACATCTCATGCAGAAAAATTCACCTATTTATATACCTGATGCTGACCTGGCGAGTTATTATTTATCATACACTCTTAGACAAAAAAAAAAAAAAAAAAAAAGATGCACCAAGAAAGATATAAAGCAAATTGGACACAAATTGATATGCATACAGGTTTCGACGGAAAATGCAAAATTTTACACTTTGGCTGCCAATGAATGAACGGTTGTTGCTACAGCGCATCTGATCTGCGCAACCGGCAGGATATTTAAGAGGAGAAATTACGATTCCAGGTCATAAATTCTTCACGAATTTCATTCCATATACTCTGGTAGACAGTAACTATGCCTCGTATACAGGTGCGCAAACGATATGCTCAGATGTCAGAATTTGAGAGAGGTCGTGTAGTTGGGCTCAAAGAAGCCGATTGGTCTTATTGGTGAATAGCTTGATATTGAGCAGAATTCTTGAGCAGAAGCGATGCCACTATTAGCACTGTTGGTAGGAAAGGGTGAACCATGGCCGCACACAGCATCAAGAAGGAAGTGGTAGGCCTAGAGAAAACACAGAACGTGGAGACCGAGGAATTGTAACAGTGGCACTGACAGCCTCAGATGCATCATTATCATCGATTGTACGTGCAACTAGTGCTTCAGTGACCACAAGGACCATTCATATATGGCTCACAGAAAGGGGGGTTGAGGGCTACCATTGACCTCTGTACAAAGTCAAATCCGTGTGCAGTGGTGTTGGGCTCATTCGCACTGGAATGTCACTGACTGGAGTAGAATAGTCTTCAGTGATGAGTCCCGCTTTGAACCGAGCCCCGATGATCAGCGAAGGCGAGTCTGGAGACGCCCCAGAGAGTGGTGTGATACCAACCTGACTGTCTTCGGCAGACAGGCCGACAACCAAGAGTGATGGTCTGGGGTGCCATTTCATTTCATAGTAGGACCCCTTTGGTTGTCATCTGTTGCAACCCTACAGCACAGCGGTACGTCAACGAAGTTCTAAGGCCCGTTGTGTTGCCCTTCATGTCATGCCACCCTGGCTTTACATTTCAGCAAGATAATGCCCGCCTCCACACTGCACGTTTCTACTGCTTGCCTTAGTGCCTGCCGAACATTACCTTGGCCAGCAAGGTTGCCGGATCTCTCTCCTATGGAGCATGTTTGGAGCATTATGGGCAGGTCCCTCCAACCAGCTCGGGATGTTGACGATCTAACACTCTAGTTGGACTGATGCAACCTCAATATCACTAATATATAACCTATCAATAAATGCCAAGCCGAGTAACTGCTTAGCATAAGAGCCAGATGTGGACAAACGCGTTACTGACTTTTTCATTTTGTGAAGCTCTATCACTTCAATAAATCATCCAATTTTTCTCAAACTGTAATCATTTGTTTTTCTGTACATGTACATCACTTCTACCAATTTTCGTCTCATTTGGATAACTCCTTCTTGGTGCATTTTTTTTTTTTTTTTTTTTGTCTAAGAGTGTATTTTGCTTCTATCACCGCATGTTTATCAATACATGACAGCTTCAGTAGTAACTTATGCTGTGATGTCTATACTTTTTTAACCGCTTGCCTGATTATCCCGAGTTATCTCGGGTTCGTATATATTGCAGTTAATTATTATCCCGAGAAAACTCGGGCGAAGCAGAATTTGTTAGTACGATTTCTTTTATCAGGGTTTTACTCGGTCTGGAGGAAATATTTAGCTTTGATTGACAGTTTGCCAAATTTTGTTGGTTGCATGGTTCTTTTGGAGGGACTGGTTGCTTGTTTCCCTATTGTATAGTATACGTTGGCTTGTGGATTAGTAATGTATAAAGAAGGATGCATGCGTTGGAAAAAAGTAAAATAATGGCGATGATGGAAGATAGCGAAAGCGATTATTTTTCAGATAGTGATTATTAAAAAGTGGGAAAAAAATAATAATTAAAAAAAAAAATCCTATGAGACAGTGTACTCTGTGCTCCCCTGAAAGAGATTCCAGCGGTAATCCAGTAAGAAAAGAGACCAGATACCAGTGTAGAACGTCAGGTATCACTCTGTGTTGTCCCTTGTTTCAAAAACTATCATACAAAGATCTTTAACTTTTTTTCGTTTGCCCGAGATAACTCGGGATAGTAAACTAATATTAAAAATAAATGCTTTTACACATTCAAAAAATTAAAAATTCAACTTAAAACCTACATATTTTGATTTGTTTCATTTTGTTGTATTTAATAATAAAATAAAAAAATGTGATGATTTTTTGCATTTTTTTTCAAAAAAATTTGTAAGGGAAGCGGTTAATATTAGTAATTGAATAACAATATTATGGCAACCTTTTATGCTAACATTACAATTGGTGATGATTATAGATTTTTAAATGCTCAAGAAATATTGACGAGGAAAAATTCAACAAAAATTTCTTTTCATATGTTAAAAATAGATTTTGTTAATGAAACTCACAGGCCAAAAGATTACATTTAGTGCTATTTTAATTAAGAAAAACTGATATGTTATACACCATAAACCCAGAAGCGGCGGCAGAATATGTCGGCACCGGATGGCAGAATTTAGGGAAGACGAAATTTTTAGAATATGGGGAAGCACCGAGCGGCAAAATTAAGGGATGAGAAGTTTTTATGATTTAGGGAAAGCACTGGAATCCAAAGTTTAGGTGCAGTGAAAATTTAGAACTTAGGAAAGCACTTTGTAGGAGAATTTAGGACCCGTAGAGACTGCACCCGGTGGTATCGAGCGCCAGCCCGAGATAAAGCCTTAAATATATGTGGGAGTTTATTTATTCAAGACTCGGATTAGTTTGAAGCATATGCAAGAAATATACACAGGTATAGTAAATAACTAAACTAATACAATTCATACGCAATAGGAACAAGACAAAATTTAGCGAAACAACTTGGCTTTTTCCCCCAATCTTGTGATACACAGCCAATAATGTATAACGGATGCTATTAAGCTAGGCTAAAATTATCTTTACTGATTCTAAGGCATTTTAATTAATGTAGTAGACTGCGCTGATCCTTGATCTTTGATCCAGCTTATTTATTTATTTTTTTTGCAGACTGTTATTATTATGGCAATTTTATAAAAACTAAGCTTGAACTTTCGATTATGTCGAAAAGAATTTCCAAAGGATCTACAAAGCGAAAACATGTTTCGATGTACATTGAAAGATGAAAGAAATGTTTAATAAAGTAAACAAATAAATACTAAGCTTTTGTTTTGTAAATTTTGATACCCTTTAGATCATAATTGTTCTTTATTTCATAAATTACGATTTCATATTTTTAAATGTATAATTTCTGCATGCCATCTTACCAGATTTAAATTGATGATCTATTAAACAGAAAAATCCCAAATCCGGAATCACCAAGTCCCGAGCAGTCCAGATTTCGGACTTTGTACTGTATAAAACTTTTCTGAGATGATTCAAATTTTTCCCATTTACAAATTTTCTTTAATTTTTTATATGTTAGGGAAGAAATATAGTGATAATACAAAGAAGTTGAGGGACTAAACCTGAATTTGCAAACATAATTTTACAATGTTTACAAATACTTAATGCAAGTAGTGATACGGTAAACAGAACTTAAATAACAGATATCTTAGCCATAAATCCAAATATAATAAAATTTATGCTTGAATGTTGAAGTATTGTTATGAAAGAATACACTAAACCACAATACAATATTAGATTCCAATTTTAAATTTTATTAATGATAACATTAACCTTATAAAATTTACTCGTAAATTTACTCTAAACTGTCCACAATTTTTAGCTAGCTAATATAAAAAGTAAATATTAGAATTACATAAAATCATGATAATATGTGTGATGTATGATATGCCTGTAAATACGTTTTGTTTGATCTTTATGCTTTTTACCATCTTCCAGTAGCTGTTGAACACTCTTTCGCAGTGCAGGAGGTTGCATTTCTTCTTGTAAAGTGCATTCAGGTACGTCTGTAGGCACACAATAAAAACCGTGCCTCAGCAAATCTACATCTTGTTTACATTCATTTACTATTTCTTCAAATATTCTTGGAGCAGCCACTGTTTTGAATATAAAATAACTGAAAATCAAATGAAGAGTTAGATGACAGATACAAACCAGTATATACATTCACTAGTATCCAATACATTAACTTCATTATTATACATACAGGGTGTCTAAGAATTACAGGAAACATTTCAAGCACACAGTAACTTGTCTTCTTGCTCACATCAGATCTACTATTTCATTCATGAAGTAACATGCTGCCAGTTTGTTTAAAATATTTCATACACCATTTCACAAAAGGTCGTTGTTGGAGGATTAGAACTATATTCTATATGGTATCACCTTTTAATGTTAATGACAGACTTTAATTCCGCAAGCCATTGTTCTCTTGTATTTTCTTATATGCTACGCATTGTGCCATCTGTAAGTCTCTAGATAAAAAAATTTTGCTAAACAAATCTTTACAAAACATGTTGATAATACTTCAGATCACAAACGATTACTTTTCTTATCCTTTTATACAATTTTAAAATGTGTGCAATTTTCAGACACCTTGTATATATATATATATATATCTTTAAAGAAATTTTAAGCTGTAAAATTAATGGTCAAGGAAGGATGTTAATAATTCAAAAGCTGCTAACAAAAACAAACAATATACATATATATAAGTAGATAGAAAAAAGTGTAGCAAGGGGAAAAAAAAAAAAAAAAAATCTCTTTAACACTAGTTAGGGGTCAGGTAGGCGGTAGGGGTCATTTTGACCCATGAACACTTTTGACCATTGATTACTTTTGTTTTATTCGAAGAAATTGTTTGGAATTTTTTTGACTTTTCCTAAATAGATAATAAATATTTGTAAAACAAATTTCAGCATTCCAGATTTGTTAGTTTTTAAAATATTGGCATGTGTTCCTAGAACGTGGGACGGGGGCCATTTTGACCCCTTCACTTTCATCCCTCTGTCTGCTCCAGGCATTGTCAAATAAACCATGAAAAACATTCACTCATAAGGGTTTTTCAATTGCATTCATACTATCTCCCAGAGCAGGGATGTGACACTCATAGGTACACCTGGGCCAAACAAACAAGGTTTAACTTTAGGCGAGCCGAAAAAAAAAATCAATATTCATAGAAAGGTAGATTTATTTTGAATAATACAATAATAAACATATACTATATATACCGTAATTTCCGGAAGAAACGCCGCGGCGTTTACGTGTTTAAAACTTAAATTTTCAGCGGGTGCGGCATTTAGGTGCACTAAAAATAAAATATTTCCTATGATGGTCATTGTACATAGTTTGGATGGCCTTGTCATTGTGCATAGACTGGTGCTGTTCCCACACAAAAGACCACTCAGTTGCTTTTTGCGAACGTTATTTTGTTTACATTCTTTCCCTTGAACGGACCTACATGCCTTATTCACCCTTTAGGGTGAATCTCAGAATCAAGATCTCAGAACAATAACATTCTTCCCCCTTTCAAGTTTCCCTATAAAACTTCTTTTCTAGTATTGTTATTACCTTTAATGGTATCATTTATCATCATTTGATCCTTTTTTAAGTATTAGTTTGACAATATATTTCGTAATGATTTAAAGTAAGATTAATAAGAGTTATTATTTAACTATGGCAGCTACGAAAAACACAGAACACCATAAGCCCCCAGGTGTGGATAGCGGTAGGTCTTCATTTCTTAACTCCACATGCAGAAAGATCTATTTCAGCATATTCAAAATCACATTTTAAGTAATACACATGGAGATATATCAGATCCAGTTATAACAGATAGTACTGCTAAGGACGTTAGCGTTAAAGTTTCAAATGGACAAGATTGTAATCCTTCCTAATTTTACTTCCCAAAGACTCTTGTTCCAGTGAATTTACTGATTCTGCATTTGAATGCTTAGAAAATTTAGAGAGTATCCTTTCTCGAGAGAATATTTCAAACAAACTCTCTAAGACACTAAGATCTTATTTCTTGGATGTTTTCAAAATTGTAACAAAACAAAATGCAGTGATAGCGCAACTCCAAGGACAATTGGAACAATCACAAAACATAGAAAACTATTTGCAAGGTTTAGTGGAGGTAAAAAGCAATGGAATTATTGAAGATACTTATGCAGTGAAGGCTGCAAAGACAGTGCACGAAAGAAGTCAATCAAAATCTAGACATAAAGGCCAGAGCGAACATATCCTGCTGGTTTACCCAAAAGAGGATGGATCAACATCAGAGAATACAAAAGAAAAAGTTGAAAAATATATAAGTCCTGCAAAACTCAAAATAGGAGTTAAAAGTGTCAGGAAAATTTGCAAAGGAGGCATTCTAATTCAAACCAATAAAGAGGAAGAACTTAAAATTCTGGAGGATGCAATTAAGGAAAAAATGCAAAATTAAGAACTTGGTTGAACCAAAACTACCGACAAAAATTAATCCTAAAATTATAATCTACAATGTAGAGGAAGGTTTTAAGGAAGAGAAAATTACTAAACTTCTAAAAACACAGAATCATGATGCGACTACATCACATGTGATGCGACCATGGAAATTAAATTCAAAATGAAAGGTCAACATGGATATAATTGGGTTCTCTCACTTGACCCCACAGCTTTTAAGTCGATAATGCAATCTCAAAAGGTTAATATTGGTTGGACAAGGAAAAACATTCGTGAGTATATCCGAGTAATTCAATGCAAAAATTGTTTAGAATTTGGTCACACAAAAAGATCTTGTACAAGAGAACAAAGATGTTTCAAATGAGGTAAAAGAGGATACCTTAACAAGAATGCAATTTTCCGCAAGAAAAAGGTGTCAACTGCAAGCATGCTAATAAGCATTATCATTTGAATTTGGATATCAATCATAGTAGTGTAAGTAAAAAATGTGCAAGTAAGTAAAGAGAAATGGATCTGTTAATTAAAAAGATTAATTATGGATATAGTTAAAATAACACAGTTAAATTTACAGCACTCATGGAGTGCAAATGCACAATTAAAAGTTGACATTGAAAATATTCCAAATTTAAAAATAGCTTGCATACAAGAACCTTACCTTATTAAAAATGCGGTAAGTGGATTTCCACAAAGATATAGGATCTATTCTCACCAAATACAAGCAAAAGCTGCAATAATTGTGAAAGAGGGCTCTTTTTCAATCAATCGGATTTTCACAACGGAGGAAATAACAGTAATCAAAGTAGAAGGATAGTCCGCTTTTATATTAATCTCGGTCTACTGTCCACCAAGCACAGAAATTGTTCCAATATTAATTACATTAGAAGGAATACTAAATGATGCAGGTGATCTTCCAATAGTTATCTGCGGGGACTTTTATTCGGAATATAGTATGTGGGGTCCAGTACCAACAAACCGTCGTGGAACAAGAGTGGGAGACTTTCTAGCAACAACTAATCTCACAGTTATTAATGAACAAAATAGCAACCCAACATTTGTAGGTCCTCTGGGAAATTCATGGATTGACTTAACTCTCCTCAAAGGGCTACAAAGTTTAAAAATAGAAAATTGGGAAGTTGATCCGAGAGACGCGTTAAGTGACCATAAAGCAATTAATTTTGAAATTCACATGGATATGAGGCCTTCTCAAAAACTCAAACTGAGAATTGAAAACTCTCAATGGCTTACATTAAGGCAGGAGATAACAGATCTTTCTTGTTCAGAATTTAATTTGAATTCTGATGCAGAAATTAATTCTACAATTAAAGAAATTTCAGAAAAATTAAAGACGCTCTTTAAACAATATTTAAGGTAATTACCATTTAATAAAACACACAAAACTACAAAACTTGGTGGAGCCATGCACTCACACAGGAAAGAAGACAACTAAAGAAATTGCGCAAAAACTATCAAAATGCAAGGAATCAAGATAGGAAAGATAAACGTCAAATCTACAATAAAGCAGCGGCAGCTTATAAAAAAATATATATAATGCCAAATTACAGGCTTGGGAGAATTATTGGGAGAATTTAAAACTGAAATCTCCCTTTAATACTTACTACGACATAGTAGTTAAAGGAAAAGGATATAAAGCCCTTAAACTCTGCAAAATTAAAAGGACAGATGATAGTTGGACAAACACAGTTGAAGATACTCTATGCTATATCATTTGTGTTCACTTTCCTCAGGACAACATTGACGATGATAAGGAAGAACACAGAGAGATAAGAAATCGTTCTATGATAACTTCAGACAGAGATGATCTCCCAATAACTACCCAAGAAATAAAAAATATCATAAAATCTACAAAAAGAGGAAAAGCGTCGGGAGACGATGAACTTTCCATAGATATTGTAGAAGAAGTCTTTATTGCTAATCCAAATCTTATGACTCGAATTATGAACAGATGTTTAGCAACTGGTTACTTTCCAGAAGAATGGAAAATTGGTAATTTAGTCCTTTTACAAAAAGAAGGGAAAGATGTTACAAATCCCAATGCCTACAGACCCATTTTCCTTTTATCGGCTTGGGGGAAGATTTTAGATAAGCTTATTGCACGACGACTAACTCATTTTTTGATTGCAAAGAAAATACTCAATAGCCAACAATATGGTTTCACAACGGGTTGTAGCACAATTGATGCAGTAAATAACCTAGTTAATGAAATTCATAACAATAGAATAAAACAATCTTCATACTTGTGTTATTTCTTTAGACGTTGCATCAGCGTTCAATAACCTTTGGTGGCCTGGATTGCTATCAAGGTTAAATGAAGTCAAATGTCCAAGAAATCTTTTTCGCATAATTCGAAGTTATTTGAGTAACCGAAAATACAATATAAAAGAGATGGTGTCAATATCTCAATTCTTATCAGAAGGGGCTTTACATTCTTATCAGAAAGGGGCACCTCAAGGTTCCAACCTAGGGCCCACTTTATGGAATATTTTGGCTGATACAGCTTTAAATTTAGAATTTGACACAGGCGTAAAAATTCAAGCATATGCTGATGATTTCTTAGTCATCATTTCTGGTAGCAACAGACTGCGAATTGAAGAAAAGGTTCATAGAGCTTTAGAAAAACTTAAGCACTGGAGCAATAAATATCAACTTAAATTT